ACTCGCCAAGAAGGTAAGAGAAATACCTTATATACTTATTATTTAATTATGGCAAAGCACACTAGGGCTATCTGCTTAAGGGGAGGGATGCCATCGTGGAGGACTTTCTAAGGGAACTGACTCGTATTATCCGCAGTTTCACTTATCCCCGGTTCGTGGGCTGGCAGAGGTAAAAAAATTGCCATACGAAATTCCCGCAAGTTTTGTAAGCTATAAGTTTTGAAATTTAAACGAATTAACAACAGTTCATAATACAGCAAGACTATAACAGCCCTAATGCGCATAATGCTGTCTTAAGAGGCATCTGGCTGCTCTTGATAAGGGGCAGTATTCCTGGATACAGAGAACGGTAATAATCATTGCGGAATCTAATTTATGTTCCGGGATTAAAAGAATTTCCTCAGACTCTGAATACACAACCCATCTTAATGGTCATTAGTATGTTGATAGGGAATCTCGAATCTCATTGACCAGAAAATATATAACTTTTCTTTGTTTCTGTAATCATACATTTCAACGCATGCCTTTCTTCCCTCCCTCAAACTTGCTACTTCTCTTACTTGCACCATTCGCCCTATTGTCATTAATACCATCCTATCACAGGTGTCTTGCGTTTAAAATTCTTAACAATTATAATAATAAGAACAAAACACAAATAACTATTGTTGTTACAAGTGGCAGGAAAGCGCTAGTATACTAGCAATGAATTAGTACTCATTAAATGAATCATCATTTCAAGATATTATTTTATGTTTTACGGTGCAAGAAATACATTTTCTCCCTTTTCACTCGCCTTTTGTTGAATAAGTTAAAATGCCAGAATCCCTTACTTTCATAAATAGTAGAAAGAATCTAATATATATCTATTACGTCTTATTTCTTTATTAGAACAGCATGTAATACATTATTGTATACAAAAAAATTTATTATTACATTATTTAATGCTAGTGATTTCTTATTTGCATAATTCTTCAATTAAACTTAACAGTAATTATGTATGTCACCCGAAAATTCTGCTTTACATATCGTTCGCTGTTATCCACGATAAGCCTCGGAACTCATTACCTATGGCTACGGGGACATCACTTTATAAATGATATATATCAGCGATTCTCCCCCGGTGGTACGCAAGAGAAAAATAGGTGGGACCCAACGAAACAAAACATTCCGATGTTATTTCTCAAATAAAGAAATCGCACCTGAAACTAAATTATTCACCGCTTCATTCACCGTGAAGGTCTAGTAGCCAAAACAATCCCCGCAAACCTGAAAATCATTTTGAATCTAGCTGTGTAAATTGTTATCTTGAAAGACGAGCTTTAATTTCAAGAATATTTACGATTTTATAGATGAGCAGTGAACATGAAACGCTTTTGTTACATTCCGAAAAAAGGTGGTTATCCAGAGGCCGTCTTTTTGAACTTCGACCAGAAATTAAAATTTTCCTTTGTGATTCGAAATTTGAATTGCAAATAAGTTTATTTAGTAAGTTATGGATGGTTATGGAAGGAAAGTTAAATGAATTAAATTTAGGATTGAAAGGACAAAGTGGTTACCATTAGAGATAAAATAAATGCAATCATAAAAAAAATCGAGCTAAAAATGAAAGAATTGTATAATAAAATTTTGAGCTGTTTACCACTTTTAGAAAGTTTTCTAACCGGAAATAATTGGAAAATAAAAGAAGAAGAATTACCATCCGACATTAAAAATCATTGTTTTTCATTGATAAAAAATTTTAACATATATTTTCCGAAGGATTATGAACAAGAAAATTGGATTAGGAATCTATTTTGTTCAAATGCATATGGAATTTTATCTCGTAAAGAAAAGGAACAATTAAAAGAAATTTCCTGTGAGCGAACTCTAACTGAAGATTTCAAAATTACTACATATGTTAACTTTTGGCTGACCCCCCCCCTGAAAAAGAATTTAAAGGCATTTCAAATAAAGCTATGAAATTTTTATTTCCTTTTTGCACAACCTATTTGTATGAATACGGATTTTCTTCCACGTTACATTTGAAAAATAAATACGGATCGTAAATAAAAATAAATCGTAAATAAACAAAAATAAATCGTAAATTAGTGGATCCTAATTTACGATTAAAACTGAGTGAAGTAAAACCAAACATAAAGAAATCGATCTTTTTTAAACAGGCCCAAATTTCGCTAAATTTTAGAATTAAAGTATTATAACTTAAATTTTGATAATTAAAACGCTAACCAATTTTTAATCTAATTTTTTTATATGTGCATATTTACTACAAATAGCCAATAGGTTGTGCAAATTGCAAAATATATTTGTTTTACTATTTCTATTGAGAAAATAAAATATAATCATTGCAAAATGCAGTAGTGGTACTAAAGTTTTTCAATTTTTTTTAGATGGCACGCGTTAGTCAAAAGGTTGAGAATCGCTGATATACAAGCAATAAGAAAATACTATATACAGCAAACGATTCTTACATCCTAGAAATGAATCTTAGAATTATAGCATTTTAGGATTAGAAAGTAAAGTAAGCACATACTAATTTACAGTAAAATGAAAGTTTCCAAACACACTTAAAAATCTGAAACTATGCAGTGCTAAGTTGAGAAGCGGCAATAGAAATTACAATATTATATGCATTAAATTTAGACAAAGCAATCACCTCATATTTTGCATAGATTTTAGTCAAGACTCTTCAAGGGCAAACGAAGCATTTTCGACATCAGAAGCAAAAAAATCAGAAACAGGCATCAGGTGGCAAAGACATCTGCGGGGAGATGAAGAGGGAACTGTAGTTGTTTGCCCTCGAAATCGATAGAGTTTTGACTAAAAAATCTACATAAAACACAAGGTTGTTGGTTTGCCTAATTTTATTTTTTATTTTGGCGTGTTTCTCTTCTCTCTTGATTATATATATATATATTTGTAATAATAAAATTCCATAGTCAAGAATACACTTAAAATTCTAACTGTATGTTCTTTTCATTTTTAATGGCGATGGTCTCTTATTTGAAAGTACGTGGAATTAAATCCACAGCCCCGTAGTCAAGTTTTTTTTTCCCGCCTTTTCTACACGTACAGTTATAGAATGGTCTGGAATTTTAAAGCGAACTGATTGGCTGACGAGGCTGACGTCATTTTTTGGAAGCTCCGCCTTTCCAGAGGCTATAAAAAGACTCGCAAAAGAATATCGGGGCTTTTTCTTTAATGCTACGATGCAGTAAACTTCATACAAAAAGTTATTAGTAATTCTTTTTATTTACTCTGGATATCTGATTTTGTAACTGCTATTTAAACTTATCGTCTGATAATTTAAGCTACGACTACATTTATGATTCTTCACCAAGTCTATTTATTCCGGACAAAAGCTGGTACATCACACACATATATATATATATAATAATAATAATAATTTTGCCTTCTTTTTAAAATTACTCTTATGTCATTTATTTTTAATGAGGGAGTTGAGAATCTTTCACATCATTCATAATTAAGATATAGAACAGGAGTTCTTAACCGAGGGGGAATTCCCCTTAGCAGGGAATTTCACAGTTTCAGGGGAGGATGCGGTCAGCCTTTTATTTAGCTGGTTCTAGTTGATGAACAGAGAAAACCTACTTTTATTCAAATTTTGCTATTTACCAAAATCTTGCATTGCACATCTGGGAGAAAAAAAAATTAGAAACAAAACTGATTTTGATTGCGCCCAATATTTGGAACTGAGAGCCAAAGTTTTATGTCATTAGCAACTATAAATTCAAGCTCGTAACTTGTTTCCTTTCCTCTTAAACATTTGATGGATAAATCTTAAACTTTAACTTGAGAAAAATTTTTGTCAACTGTATTTTACAAATCAATAAATAAAAATAGACGGTTGCCTGAACGAAAATATTTTTTCCCCTCAAATGCGCTTAATTTTTTTTACCTACAAATTTATACTAATAATACATCCCATATACACTATTTTTAGATCCATTTATGTCCTTATGTTTATTTCCTTTATTAAATGAAACTAATTATGGGAGTAACAAAACTTTCAACTGAAAATAAATTTTTAATGAACTTATAAGGTATTTTCTCCTTCGTTTCTGGATGTCTTCGTGGTGTAAAGGTAGCACACTCGGAGAGTATTAGAGAGGTCCAGGTTCGAGTCCCGGCGAGGGTATTGCTTATTTTTCATGTCTCCTGCTTCAAAAAATAATTATGATTCTACAAACTGATCGAAGCAATTTGATGTGCAGAATCAGTTGATATCTACAAAAAATTTATAAGTGATCTCATTTGCACGTCCCGTAAATTTATACGTTCTGTTAAATTAAATAAAGCTAAAAACAACGAAAACTGTAATAATTGGGAGGCAGAATATGAAATGCTCTACCCCCCTCCCCGCGTATACGCTCTGACAAAAAAATCAGCTACAGTAAGGTAGCAATTACCCAATTAAACTAAAAGTTAGGATTTGTGACGTACGTCTACAAACTATCATACGTAAAATAAATGTGATATAAAGATGGTAGTATAGAAACTAAAAAGAATCGTAAATGATTAACCGCTGAGGTAAATAAATTGCATTTTCCCGAAATCCATTCCTGTTATTACGCAGCGGTACATTACGTAGAAACTTAGATGTAACAAGAAAATGTTCAACTATACACGTATTTCTTACTTATGGTGCTTTAAACTACATTAAAAGTTTGACGCAAAGGTTTCGCTTTTAAAAGCAACATAAACAAGCTCTGTAGTTGATGAAAATTATTTGCAACTAATGTTAATGCATTGCGACATTATGAATTATTTACATGAATTATTTACATACCATATTTAACGTGGTAACATTAATAATTAATATGCATGAATAACTGACGTTAATCCAATCAATGTGCAGATTACGTTATTAATTTGAAGTATATTTATCGGCAATAATGTTATGAAATTCCAAGGAATTACGAAACTCATTCATAAAATGCATTATGGGAAGTTTCAGAGAATAGCAAAGTGTATTTACTTACCTCACGACAGGTTCCGCATATTTTTGTGGCGTGCAGTTTAAATAGAAATAATCCTGTTTCAAAATGTGAGAAAAACGTAGGCTAAAACGCAGTACCGTTTTAAGATTGAAAAGAATTATTTACTGTAAAGCAAAGAATTATAATTTGCTTAGGCGTTTACTAAGCACCATCCTAATTATCAGAACATTTTTTTCAAAAATTCACTTGGCATTTATGAATTTCCATGCTTCATTTAGTCAGCACTTTCTCTACGTTGCCAGATTTCAGAACTCACAGGCGGAAAAAAAAAACACTTTTTTTAGACTTCAGTCTAGATTCAGAGATTATCCTTAGGGCTTTTGAGGAATTTGATCAATTCACGATCAAATAAAATATCCTTTTTTTTCAATCTTGTTTGTTCAACGCAAGTTTTCACTTGAAAAATAAATTCTTTGTTATTTTTTTTACAAATTATTAGAAGCAGTTCAGCCATAAGCACATTTCATAAACAAAAGGCGATTTATTCTCTGGCAGTCTGTTTCACAAAGCAAAACATATTAACAGATCACCTCGCTGTAAAAGCAGTTCAAAATTCATCTGAAACATATTCGTTGCTTAACATTATTCATTATCTTTGACTTCGAAGACGTGATGTAAATTATTTTATTTTGTACAGCTTTTGGAAATATCAAACAGTTCTAAAACAGTTGAACAGAGAAGTGGTTCTTTGCAGTGCTGGAAATATATTTTGAAGTTTCTGCATCTCATCAATCACAAAACTTCTACGATGTCTTTTGCGTTATTCAAAATCCTTGTGTATTCCTTCCCTTTTTTGCAATATTCACCTAAGGAAAGAAACTTGTTTTAATTTTCTGCAAGAATTAACATCTACATAAATTAACAGCATTACAACATCAGAAATTATAAAAATTTCCTAACTGGTAATTAAAAAAAATGCTGCTTATTCAATAAACAAAATTTAGTTTAGAATAAGTTTTTTTTTTTAAATAGAGTCAAATATATTGAATATAACGAAATTTAGAAATTTTAAGCCGTTAGATGGACAAGGTAAAAAAAAAAAAAAAAAAAAAAGATTGTTTAGATTCGATAATTTGATTATTTGATTTTCCATAATTCCATAAACTACCATATTACGCTCCGGCATAAAGTTTTAAGAATATGGAAATTTATGAAAAATTTAATTTAATATTAATTTGATGTCAAATATTGCTTAAGGCAAAGAACAAGAAAAATAATTTGTATTAAAAATACTAAGCGATTTAATAAGCTAAGATTAACGGTTAAAGACTTCTCTGACTTACCAGACACTGGCGTTTTTCAGTTCTTTACCTTTGTTAACATATGTCATAAATTGTTTTTTAATCTTCATGTTACATATCAAAATTGCTAATTCAATCTACAATAACATTTTAAAAGTCAAAGAATTTAAGTTTTAGTAAAATTAAGTAAATTGATAGATTAAAAGAAATACATACCTTTGTCTGGTCCACTACATAAGTCCTGATTATGGCTGTCTTTATTTGACATCCTGCTTTGAAGTGCTGTTCTGAAATAAACGGTATGAATTCTGACGCTCGTCGTTTCAATCCATAAAAGGTGGAAAATTGTATAAGAGTATCTATTACTTTCGCGAAGAAATATCAGTTACTGTAAAATCGTACTTTTCCAGATCATTAGCTCCACTAACATCTAACTGCGTTCGTAGACTTCGCAGAATTTAAAATCACCATCATTTTCTCTATTCTGTTTATTTATATTTAAATACCCAGAGTTAAAAACTAATTAAAAAGTAAATCTATCAATCTGCAAAATATTTTGTATTTTGTACTCAAAGTAATATACTTCAAAAAGCTTCCTAAATTTGATGCATGTTTATCAGAACTGGTTTTTAATCTTTATTATTACTCTAATATTTGTTATTAACATCATTTTCCTCTTCTTACTTTTTGCTTATTAAAATTTTTATGTAGTATCCGAGCTACCTGCATCAATCAATGCTCCTCAAAATTGCATTTTGCAGGAAGAACTCATTTTGAGACACGCACGTAAAGAAAAGTTTGATAGGAGAGAATGAAAAATTTAGACCAAAAATTTTATCAGCTTTAATTCAGCGCCAAACAAATTAATGTTTTAATCTGATCTAAAATAAAATTTCTGCTAGTTCTTAAATTATTTTTATTACTGTATACAAAGATTAGACTGCATTTTCAGTATTAGGCTACCAACATTAAACTTTCAGTTACTAAAACAAGCATACTTTGTAGTAGGCAATTATAATGATTTCTTTGTGTCGAACTCACCTTTAAAGTTACTTCACAAGTTCACATTAATACCAGTTTGGAAGATGAAACAAAAATAGCAGACAAGTGAACCATGACAAAGAATGTAATTACCACTTACCTCTCATACCATTCACTACAGGATGTTAAAAATGAGATAACATCTATGCGGTGACATTTATATCCTCCTCACGTCTTTAGATCAGAATCTGTCTAACTGTACAATAAGTGAATACTGGACGACCGGTAGATACTTAGACTAACAGTTACTCACAAGAAGAAAAAAAAACAGTTCTTAATGGGCTTTAATGTTGTGTCATACATTGCATTTCTCTTTTTTATTTAGTTTAATACATGTTCTTACAAACAGAAACTCAAAAATAAGAATTTGTGTTTAGTATTTTGTGTTAGACAAATTTCTTTTGTTCATTAAATAGATGTCATTCTCAAAAATCCAATGTAACCAAATATATAGTGATGTTCGAGAGATAGAAAATACTTAACCCTGATCATGTAATATGTTACAAGTACCAAAAAAAAAAAATTCAAATTTTATTTTCTGAATTCATTATTTTGGTAAATATATTCCAGAACTGTGATATCATCTAAACAAAGAAAACAGTGTTTGTGCAAAAAATAAAAATTGGAATAGTTTAACCGCAGTGAATGGAGAAACAAAGTACTACGCAGAAAGCGGATATTGTGCTCTAATATAATATACACTAAATAAGCAAAATAGTCGCACAACTTGCTATTTAATACAAATATGAAATCTACTATAGGCATAGTTCTTATACAAGCATATATTGGTGATTAAACATTTACCATAATTCTAAATTTCAGAAAGATATTGTACTACATAATATTGCAGCATTATTTGAATTACAGGGTGTATTTCTTGAGCCTAAACTGCAATATTTTCCATCGGCTGACGACCGTCTACTCTCATCTTGGGCGAATATGATTCAAACTCCCGGCACTTTACAACTCTACTTGTCAAAACATAAACAGACGCCACGTGTACTATTTTTGTACCTAACCCAGGCTTTTTTATTAAGCGAAGACATCTTAACAGACTCAGTGTTGGTGATTTTAAGCGAATAGAGAGTGACTTAATGTAGATCATACCGGAATCATATAGTATCAACATGTTATTGTATCATTTACATTGCAGATATTTTGTGCGACTGTGGGAAAGAATTCTCTGTAGCTATCTGTAAACGATTGAATGAGCATTGGTTATACACCCAGAAACCTGTAATACGTATCTCGCTTGTCTGCAGCCACTGTTGCAGAAGACTGGCTTCTTACTGTGCGCTACCAGGGATGACCACTGACCTGACATTTAAGCAAATGTCTTCCAGTGTATCGTCATCCTGGCAGATCGAAAATCTGAGCGTGAAAATGGGCGGCATTAACTAATGTAATTAATGAAGATTTACGAAATACAGGGTCCACATAAATGCACAAGATTTATAACATATTTACACAAGGTTCGCTGCATAAATATACAAGGTTCTGGTGAGTACATTCATTGTATAAACTAACACATCCATTGCATATTTTCATATAATATTTACGTGCTATTTTCATGAGCATCAATGATTTCGATGTGCGCTTATGTAGCCCAGGAATCCTTATTAAAATTATGTACAATGTGGGACTGAGTTCAGACAAAACTGCGAAACATTATACATTCCAAAAACGAATACGAATATACGAAACATTATATAGTCCACATTTACAGTTCTGTATGACTCCTTGCTGCCTAGTTTATAACATACCTTGAATGTTATCATTATAATGATGGCAGTATCATAATCTGGTATGTTATCATGAAAGATTCAGTGCGTGGCTCCAAATTTTCGAAGGAAAATTCAAACAGCAAAATATATCCTGGAAATGTGCGTCATTATTATTCCAGGTACTTCAAGGGTAAAGCGGAATCCAAATTATTTATGAATGAAAACGCAAGTGCAGAGAGAGCTGATCTAATGGGTAAATATTGGAAACACAGGACATCAAGCGTCTGCATTGGCTATTCTAGAGGGACGGTTGGAGGACTTCAACTAGATTTCTAAGCGTTCTAGTTCTAGAAGCACGAGACGGCATTAGTGCAGAAGACCTTAAAACAGCTGAACCGTTTCTTACCAGCAATTCCAACTCGTAGATAGGCGCAGTCGTTAGGCAGAGTTATCAGACATCGTGCACTGAACTTACATCGTGCTCACTACAGAATTCTGTGGAAAAGCAAAGGCATCCTTGCCTTGTTTCAAAGGAGCTGCTTTTCTTTTTCTCTCATAATAACTAAAATTGCTGGACTAATGATAGCTTTCATCCCACATTTCTCACTACTTTTTTAATACTGAGTGTGGTTGTCCACATATTCGAAAACTTCTGGTTTCTGTAATACGGTGACAAGCGGAAAAAAAAATGTCATTTTTAATTTTTTAACACTTATATGAGTGTCTATAGACAAGCACAATCATCCGTACGTGTAATAACAGTATATCACATAATTTCAGCAGTGTGTATGTTTGTATATAGGTATGAACAGCTGAATTTGGCGTTGTAAAGAACGTGGGAGACCTTTGCAGTAAGCTCGCACTTATATTTACACCTTACCTGAGAAATACATCATTCATTCGTTTTCACTTTTGAAGAAAAGAGTTAAGTTTCTTTCCTGTTTTATTTGAGCAACTTTTAAAATAAATTCTCTTAAAATTGCGTGCAATGTTGTTTACTTTCCCTCCCATGCAGGAGGAATTTTTTTTTTTTTAAATACATATATTAATGTGCAAGCTTTCAAACGTTAATCTTGGATATTGAGTATGTAATAAGGTTTAAGCAGTTCTCAAATAACTACTATTTTGGAAAGAGCATATAAGGTATTTCTCCCGCCTTCTTAACATGCCATCCTGGTGCAGTGGTCAGCACACTCGGCGCGTATTCGAGAGGTCCGAGGTTTGAGTCCCGGCTAGGGCACTGCTCCTTTTTCATGTCTTCAGCATCAAAATAACCTCACCCCTTATAATTTAAATCACTCTTTACATCAAATTAATCGAGATTAGGTTCAAATACAAAAGGCGGTTTCAATTCTTTGGTGACACATTAAGTAATAGTTCCAACAAGGAAATTCGTTTTGCCTTCTAACGCTTGTTATGACCAACCTTTATGAGGTATTTCTCCCGCTTTCTTGGCATGCCTTCATGGCGAAGTGGTCAGCACTCTCGACGCGTTTTCGAGAGGTCCGTGGTTCGAGTCCTGGCGAGGGCACTGCACATTTTTCAAGTCTCCTGCTTCGAAATAACATAATGACTCTACACCTTGAATATAAAAATATATATTGTTGGCGTTCAAGCGACAAGAATCAGAGCAATATTCATAAATTTGCCCTTTTCTGTACTTCTGCAACTGAAGAAAGCTCTGTATTTAAACCTTTGAAACTAGTCCTGCAAATTTAAGAACATTATGCTGATTCTTGTTGCCTTAACATTTACAATAATCGTTATTCGGCGTATTTAACTCAGTTACAAATAAATTTT